GCGTCAAGTTATTTAAGTTGTAGACTTATTTTTCGACCACTATTATTTTAGCATGTAAGATAGTTTTAAGTTTGTGTATGAAAGGGTACATATCGATCAAATCCATGTATGAATAGATTTTTTTCAAAATAAATTATGAGTAAACTCACGTCTAGGGCCTGCCCTCGAGTACACAAACATGTATAGATAACTTTTATTGGTTATAGAGTTTTACTTTAGTAGTTTCATTTTGAGACGGATGATTAATTTGTTCTTCCTTCATTACCAACGTAATGCTAAACAATTTTTTTTTAATTTATTTGCCATAACTATGAAAGTTTAAGTCCATAAAAGTAAAGATTATATATATACTTCTTTTGGACATTACAATGGAGTAAGTTTAAATTTCTAATAATTTTGGTTTTGTATTTGCATTCTTTACAAAAATTATTATGAAAAACCCGGGCGTAACCCGGGGTAGCCTCTAGTAATATAGATAAGAAAATCAAGGGAGTTTTATCCTTAAATGCTCTAACGATTAAAGTGCAAAAGAAAAGAAAATAAGACCTCAAATTTAATGTTTTGTAGTTGTTCTTGGAGAGCCTAGGTTTCTATTGGAGATGCCCTTAACTTCTCCATGCTTTCTTTGTACCATCCACATTGCTCTTCCTTGAATGATCCTTCTTCAATTAGTTCGTCTTCTTCTTTAATTAGGTTCCATGACAGCAGCCAATTAGCTCTTCTTCTTCCTCTCCTCATTTGCAACCTCGCCGGTTTAAGTTGGTTGGGTTTCGGTTTAGCCGTATAATTTATTTATATGCATAAGTTTAATATTTTTTTTCTTCTGATATCAATGGGAAATCCGTTTGGTTCTTGGGTTTTTTTTTGTCCACTGCGATGTCAGTTAGTCTCAAAAGAAGTGATGTACTTCCTTGATTCCAAAATATAAGATTCAAAGCTCTTAGAAACAAGAAAAAAAGGCATTTCTTAATCAGAGTTTCTAATCTGCGACTCTCTCCTGTCATCAATGAGAATCTTCAAGCAACCTTGTGGCCTCGTGAACCAAACACAAAGCACTCTCTACTTCTTCTTCAATCTTGCCTGATAGTAAACATTTTCCGTTCTTCTCCTTCTCCTCCAGCGTCTTCAGCGCCTTGTCGACTGTCTCCATCGTAGCCTTGTGCACCTCTTTCGCTTGAAGCTCCTCTGCATTGAGCTCTTCTCTTAGAATCATTGCCTCTTCTTTCCTCAGATCTGACTCAAAGACAAGCTGGTGAATCTCGATTATCATGTTTTGTACTTCAGACCTCCCTTGTTCTTCCATCTCCTCAAGACTCTGCTTCTCTTGGACTGTGTTCTCCATTTCCATCTGTGATTCAGAACTCGTCTTTGAGCTCTTCTCTATCTCTGTTTCCACGGTTTTGATCTCCTTCTCGAGCTTCAGAGATTTCTTGTTCATGTCGTCAATTTCTTTTCTAACCGAAGCCAGCTTCTCCCGGGAAAGCTTCATCTCGGATTGGAGCTTTGTTTTCTCTTCCTCGGATTTCAGCAAATCTGTGGCTTTGCCTGTAAGCAGAGTGTTCCGCTGAGGAGTGTTGATCTTCTCAATGTTATCAATCGCACAAAGAAC